ACTCTCCGTTTGTAAGACGGAGCTTCCACTATTTTCGACGGGCAAGGAATCAGCAATCCCTCATTATTCTGTAGAGGATAGAAAAGCCAAGCTTACCTGAGGTACGTAACGAGTTGTTATCGTCTGGTCTCAAACTTGGAACTGTCAACTCTTGCGCCTTAGATTCCGCCACCGACTCCTCAGTGGCATGACCTTGCGAAGACCCGGCATTGGTGACGGGTTCAACCACTACCGCCGCAGGGAGAGGTGGTACAATCGGTGTCTTGGGACTTGTGAGTGGACTGTCCTCCGTTGCTCGTCGCTTGAGAGACCCACGACTACTTCGCGTCCTCAAGGTTAAACCGGTCACCCAAGTTGAACGGGGTGTTCGGTTAGGGCTTTGAGTACCACCAGAAAGGGCTGTGATAGGTGCGGCGGCTTCATTTAGTGGTGATATGCTACTTGGAGAAGAAGAGGCGTTTGATTCCACACCAAAAGGAGGCTTAGGAAAGCTCATCCGTCCAATAGCAGAGTAGACGTCCGAGTTGCTCTCACCGCTCAGCGGACTTAATGCTGTGCTGGGCGCGCCTGGATTGAGGGTGGCCGGTACCGTCACCGTCTCACCAGTATTATCACCCTCCTCATTATCGTTGTTGGATATACTGCCAGCCACTGCAGCGCTAGTCGCGACACTTGACACGAACCGCGACCGGCTGTTTCCAGCTCCGGCAGATGAGATTTGACGGTTTGGGTCAGCGACGACGGAGTCGGAGGAGGTCCAATGTGCTTTGACCGAGCTCAAGACTTGATCCCACTGCCCCGGAGCTGATTCGTTTGGTGTTGGAAGGTTTGACGCACGCGCTGGACGGTCACCAACAAAGCTCAGATGAGGTGATGTAGTCGAGCCTCGTGAAGCGACTGTCAACTGGGATACCATTGATTGGGAAGAGTCACGGGCTGATGCAGCAGCAGGGGAGGCCGGTACAGGTGGAGCGAGATATTGAACAGGAGCATGATATTCTTCGGGGTTCTCTCGTGCTTGGGATTGGCCTTGAGAGAGAGGAAGTGAGATAGAGTTAAACGCCTCCTGCACTAAAGGTGAGCTTCCGGCCAGTCGTTGCGGAGGATCGTCCCCGATTGCAATTGGATATTTATACGAAACTCCCCCGACGGCAATTGGAGTTAGTGGACGACTGCTAGAAGGTTCACTTTCTTCGAAAAGTGGAGAGGCCGGCGCATTAAACGATCTCGCCATGCTTCTCAGCACTCCCGGCTTCAATACAAGGGGATGACCGGGGAAAGCCATTGTCCGACCGGATGAAGATAAATCGTAAGGATCATCTAAACTCGTTTCGCGGGAGGGAATGGTATCCGTTGTGGACGCGTGGTCGGACGCCTTGGCTTGGGCCGGTGGTCGGGGAAATTGAGTGATATCCAAGGCAAGACGTGGTATGGAACCATCCTCGCCACGAATAGTCCATACAGAGTTGTACGATACCGATGAATCAGCGCGATTTAAGGCAGTTGCGCCCGAGGTAGTCTCTGTATTGTTTGTTTGAGGAGGAATCGTCATTGGGTCGGAAGAAGCGGGGGAAGTCGTCCGGTCGCCATGAATGGCAGGATTGGATGCCCGCTGATGTTGTTCTTCTCCAAAACTATCGCGACCATCAGATATAGCATTGCCTGTATTGTTATATGATAGATGAGAGTGCTGGTAGGCTGCAACAATACTTGTATGTCCTGAGTGTGTTGCTCCAGGAAAATCTGCGGTGGAAGAAGTGACTGGAGGGGTCACGAAACCACGAGCTGAACTGGGAAATTCCGCTGAAGGTAATGCTGGTGTAAAGGAATCTTGAAATGGAACTGCAGAGGGAAGGTCGAGGTAGTTCCCCGATGGGGCGACGAATGCATATTGGGCCACACTTGTGGAAGACTCTCGTCGGCCAATTGATGATAAAGTAGTGGTGTCATGAGTGTCGGATTGTATTGACTGCGGCAGGCCTTCGTCCTCGTTGGGGTGGTTAGTGGTCTCTCTCCTTAGCTGTAAGGAGAGAGGCGGGTTGAGCCATTTCTTAGACATTTACTTATGAAATCAGCTTAATATATTCCCTTTATCTTGAAGCGAGACTTACGAGGTGATATGCCTTTTATGTCGCTGACGACATGCACAACCGAGACAAAAGGGAAGGGGAAAGCGGTAGTAGTTGAATATACGTCTCCAGGACCTGTGTATCCCAAGATTCCGCGATAGGTAGTCAGCTGGAGTTGAGATTGTCGTATGTGAAAAGCGGGAGCTCTGCTGGTCGCCACTGGACGAAATGGATAGGCCTGACACGGACAGGATTATAAGCCTGACGGTAGGCTCAGAAATATGGATACAAGGAGAACGAAGAAAAGAGTGATATCGTTGACCCCCAGTGTAGGGCGGTTTTTGGGATCCCAGTTGGAGGAGTGCAAACGGCAAAGTTAAGCGAGGGTTCGTGAGGGTTCGTGTGGTCCGCTTTGTGCCTCGATACATCCTATCCTGGCATAATGCGACCATCATTCGCACGGATTGATCGCAGGATTAGTCACTATTTCTTACTTATTGCTTAGGTCACCTTTGCTATGGCAAGTGATGGGTCTCATATAATGGCTAGCCTGGTTTTGCATCCCTCAGGGACTTGGCAGTCAACTGTGCGCTTGTATGCAGTCGAACGCTTCAAGACAAATCCTTACAAACCCTCCTGGTAATATATATGTATTTTCTGGATTAAACTACAAAGTGGTAAAAGCAGTCCCGGCCAAACGTTCTGGAGGCGAAGGCTCGACCAAACTTCGTCCAGATCTACACTTTGCATCTTTAAAACCAGAGTTGACACGTCTCTTGCTCTGTAACAAAAAAGAGCGTCACTCTGGCATAATTCAAGCAGCTCTTTTTGCTTCCGTATCTCCTTATTTCAACTACTACAGTAGAGTCGAGCATCCTCCAAAACCTGTGGTGCCAGATGCTCTATGCTATACCGTAGTTTACGAACGACAACGGCAACATATAAATATCGTTCGATACTTTTTCTATCACAGAACCATGGTTTCCCTTCCAAACTCCATCTGTCAACCGCTGGTCTTCCAAAACACGCGCTATTTTCAAAACTCCACCGACAGCAACCAGCCACCAACAACAATGAAGGATATCTGATGACTAATGCAAATAATGGTCGGTTTCACTTTATTTTCATATTCTCGCGATCACTGCCGCCTCTTCGGGTCCTTTGAAAAGCATTCTAACATTACGGATAGACTCTCGAGATTTTGCGCAATTAATCGATGCAGTACGAGTCTTTTTGACCGTCACTCAGCAATTTCACCGCTCCAAGCATCTTCGCGACCGAAAGACGCTGTCAGAACTCGAGCGGCAAGTGGCGGCAAACAGTCCACCCATCAACCAAGATGTCCTCGAAGCTGTATGCCAGGCAGCCGTCAGGAATGACCTCGCCCGCCTCATACCCTCATTCCTCAGGGTGGCATGGAAGTTGGGCATCGATATGCAGACCGAATTTTATGAGCGTCTTTGCGAAACCCTGATCGAAGACCGACGCTGGCATGAAATCAAGCGCGTGTTAGAGGGTCTCATAACTCAAAATACGCAGCACATGTCAACCAAGCTGCTGAATACAGAACTGCGCCTCTACCTCCACTTTGAGAGATATTCGCTCCTCAAATTTGATCGTGTGATGAGGCTGTTCAATCAACAGGGGTGCGAGATGGATCAGGCATCCTATCATCTCTTGATAGAAGCTGCTATAGCAAATCGCAATATGCGTGACAGTCGTGATGTCACTTCCCGCATGTTGAAGGCCGGGTTTGCCGTGAACGAAGACACATACAAGGCCTTTCTATCGCGTATGGTGGCTATTGGTCCAAACCGAGTTCTCGAAGAGGACGTCGTTGCAGCCCTACAAAAAGCCAACCTCGAGTTGAATGTGGGGATCCTAAACTCGTTAATACGACTGCGAAGTATTGTGGGCGACGATAGATCATTACAACAATATGTAGAACAACTCAAGCAGCGCCCTACCACTTCAACGCCTTCAACCTCAAATATGCAAGGAGAGAAGGATATGGGCTCCACAACAGGAACTCCTTCAACAGCGGTTCTAGGCGCTCTTCCCGATATCAAGACAATACCCATTCTAATCGAGCATTTTGGGCGGCGACGTCGCCTGGATAGTGCTATACGAGTATTTTCTCTGCTTGAGGCTCTTCAACTGAAGCCCTCTCCGGAGATAGTAGCGTACATGCTGCTGACATATGCCCGATGTGATCAGACCCAGCGTGGCCTATCGTTTTTCTCCGAGCTTCTACAAAACCTGCCAGAAAGGACAAAGAGACCGGCGGAAAAGCTAGTCAAATCATTGGGATGGGATGGAATCTACTCCAGGAACGGGATACGGGATGTTTCGATCAACGTCTTCATCCTGAACGCCTTATTATCTGTAGTAGTACCCATCAAGGGCTTAGATGCTATCTCGACGGTCTTACAACTGATGGAACTCCTTCATGTCCAGCCAGACGATGAGACTGCCCGACAAATACTCTATTTCCTGGATAAATACGAAGGTGTCGGTTCAAACACATTGATCACGATTCTCTATCAGCTCTCTCAATATCAACATATCCAAGGGCGAATGAGGCATCTCAATATTTTGCTGCATTCCATCCTAAGGGAGTACAAAGAACAATGGAAGGGAAGAGGGGGATGGCTTGCTGATGCTGCTCGGCTATCTCTGAGTGCGAGTCATACTGCTATTCCGGACGTCACAACTTCAAGAACAGCAGACCGGACGACAAGATATTTTAGTAGCTTCTACCGAGAAAGCAAAATTGCGATACCTTTGCGATCTGATTTACATCAAATCCTAAACTTCGTCAAGAGCTCTGGCTCCCGACGTGATGCGGCGACTTACTCGATATTAATGTTCTACCATTCACGAGTGAAAAAGAACCCGAAGGCTGTAGAGCATCTCTATGAAGAAATGCTATCCAACGAGATTTTACCCAACGCATATCATGTCGCAGCTCTCATCGAAGTCAACTGTCTCACAGGCAAATTGGCCACAGCGCGCAACTTACTAGATCATGCGGCACTAGACGGGATCAAGGTCAACCAAGTTCTATATTCTATGCTCATTCGCGCATACGGAGACCATGCGAAGCCGGATGAAGGCCTGAATGTATATCGTCAAATGCTCAAGGCCCGAATAAAGCCGGATGTAGCGGCCCTAGAAGGAGTCATACGTGGGTATTTTATGGTCAAAAGGTACTCAAAAGCGAGG